ATTCTAATCTATACTGTACTACTCTGTATTCTTCATCTATTGTTCTATCTACATCACATTACCGATTTATTATTCTTCATTTATTTCTTTAAGATAATTATACTATTATTAGTAGTTATATTAGTAATTTAGTATTAATGATTATACTTTTATTGTTTCCATCATTTGCAATGGAGCCAAAGGCTCAATATTTTTTGGCTTGAGAATATGATGGAATAAAGCAAAATGACTCATTAAACTGTTTGCGCTTCTTTGTTATTAAACAACACTAGTCCATGCAATTTTGGACGCAATTCTCACTATGGGTCATCTGAAAACAGTCCCTATGTACTTTAGTACATGGATAAGACTGCGCACATCCGACCCCTCTTACCTCACCGTAGATGGAGCCTTTGCGGCACTCAGGTCATGATGATGGTGATTATACTTTTATTGTTTGACATAGTTGTTTACAAATCATATATAGTATACACTAATACAGAGTATTTATTAGTTTATAATATTGTACACCATTTTTACTTTTACCAATAATATACTACTTATCTTATTACTATTATTGTAGTAATTATGACTCCGTATAAGAATCATATTTTTTCACTAATCATATTTTATACCATCATACACCTATACTAATATTACAATGTCGATTAGTGCATATTATTGTACAATTTTTGTATTTCTGTAAATACATTACTACTCCCATGAGTACGTAACTTTTTAATTAATTTACAAATGAAAAATTACATAGTAGATCGTGCAGCAAATAATCCAAAGAAGTATATATGGCAACAACATCAATAAAAACCATCTCGGCCAATCAAAACTCCAATATCTAGAAATGCTTGAGCAAAATAATATAAAAAGATAAGTAGTAATATTTCCAAAAGTAGTAATATATACACCTTAGCTGACTAGCTGTATCATCCGTGAGCCAACACAGCCTAGGAATTTTCTTTTGTATCCCTTCCTACTGCCATGAACTTTAAGGTGGTGAACAAGGTAATCTACTTTGAACAAAGCTCTTAAAGAAGAAAATCAGAGTGCACCCATTTGACTGATTTGGAGGCCGGATCAAATAAAGGAGAGGGAGATGGAAAAAGCTGGTGACCACCTTTTTTTAATAGATTTATTTGTGATTGTATTATAATGAAGAGAAGGAGAGAGTGAGTGAGCTAGAGAGGCGGCCGGCGTGCGTTATAGAATTCAGCTGAAAAGAAGCAAAGGGGCAAGGAGGGTGAGAAGACGAAGGTTTCATCAAAGTCCTAGAAAGCACTACATATTCGATACATACTCCATAGTATTTTGTTTGGTTTACTAATTTTTAGATCAAGTTAACTTTGATTATGTTTTCAGTTAGATTTACTCTCCGTGTATATGTGTGTGTCATCAAAAAAAAAATTCGAGTTTACGACATGTGATGAACACATTATTTAAGCTATACTCCGTAATTTTTTTAACTCTTTTTTGTAACCATGAAATTGCAGTAATAAAATATGAACAAATGACATTCTATATTGAAATAAAATGTTTCAAGAAAATATAAGTTAAACTCACTAAATAGTTATTCTTATCCACTAAAAAAATGTTATTTTGGTGTAATAAAGGAAAAAAATTATACGGAGTATTATTGAATTATTATTCACAAAATATAATATTCGAACTATATTTCAAGAGTTGAAGTTAAATGTGAGAGCTTTATGAGTATATTTATAGAAAAAATTATTTAATTACTTCAATCTAATTAAATAGAAACATAAAAGACTTTGTATTTATGCTCTCTCGGTTTTGGTTCTTTATCTTTTAACTATTTAAAAAGTTTTGTAAAATATACTCTGGGTAAGAGTTTTTGTCTCAACATTACTGATTAGGAATAAAGATTTGAAAAGATTGCTCAAAATAACACAAAAATGATTAGTAAAAATATTTAGAAGTTTCAATATATAAACCAAAATACTTTAGCCGATATAAATTTGACCTGAAATATGAAAACAACGAATATACTGAATTTGTTGGTACTAATGATTGTAATTATGAAGTCAAAGTTGAAAAATTGAAAGGAAAGTTGTCATTTGAAATATAATTTGAAATATATAAAACAGTGAATACCATGTGAACAACCGCTTTCAATACGCCCTTGAATTAGAAAATAAAAAAATGATATGAGTTGAAAACTTATTAGATTGGAAGTTGAAATTTGATTTTTAACGAGGCGCCGATTCAATATGAGAAGACGTCGAGTCAAAATGTGTGTAAAACACCATGGGAGAACTTTTATTAGAAACTTAATTAAAATTGTGTAGAACAAGATGTCAAACTATATAATGAGAAGCCTGGTCAGAAGCTTTAGATGGCCGAAGAGAATCGTTATGATGTGAGAAACCATAGTTATATTCATTTTTATATACAAGCCGGGCAAGGGAAGTGAATTTGAGTACATTGGGTTGTTTTTAAAATTTGTAAAATTTGAAATATGACATTTCTCCATGTTAAAACATACTCCATATACATTATGTTACACATCGAAATTTGTTTAGTTGCAATTGGTTTTGTGTGCTTTGTTATTACTATCTCATCCGTTTAATGATTCTATGATATATTGACATATTGCCGTAATAAATTGATTTTTTGTCACAATTTTTAAATATTTCTATTTATAATTAATATTTTTAGATAAAAATATTTTCGGAGAATTTGACTTTGCACCCCATTTTTAAAATCATTAATGTATGCACCCCATCAACTCAAAAATTGTGAAGGAGTGGGGTGCAAAGTCAAATGATTTTATTGTGAATTGGGGTGCATACATTAATGATTTTAAAAATAGGGTGCAAACTCAAATATCACCTCAAACATGGGGTGCAAACTCAAATTATCCCAAATATTTTTCTGTGCATCGCACGGGTGAAATAGTAGTAGTAATAATAATATATGGAGTAATAGCCACTAGTATTACAATATATACTCATTAGTACAACAATTTTGTGAAATACAGAAACTAGCCCATACAAAAACACAAGATCGGCCCGTTGTACAAGCTTGGTTTTGGTAGGGATGGATCGGTTCCAGGCCGATCGGCCCGTGGCCCAACCTGGCCCGGCACTGTTTGGAACCGGCCCGGTCCGGGATGACCCGAACCGGGTGTTACTAAGAGCGGACTCCGTTCATGGAAAATAGGAACCAGCTCGGTTCGGGCTTTTTTTCCATTTTTGTTTGTTTTTCCCTGGTTGGGCTGAGTGTTTTGGGGGGGTTTGGGGGTGGGGGTTAATTAGAAAAGCAAAAAAAAAACACAATTGAACCGGCCCGGCCGGGACCCGGCGGAATCCCGGGCCGGTTCAAGCCCCCCCCCCCCCAAAAAAAAGCCCGATTTGGACCGGCCCGGAACCCAGCCCGGCCCGGAACCGGTCCATCCCTAGGTTTTGGGGAATGCATGAACCAATTCAATTTGACTTAGGGCTCGTTTGGTATGATGTAAAGTAATCATTACACTGTTTGTTTCAATTATTTAATGTAAATTGTATGACACTTTCTTAAAAACATTTTACATTGTAACATGTAAAATACTTTACGTGGGGATGGGGCGACACTGGGGGAGGGTGGTAAAATATTTTATAGTAACTAATTAATTCGGACTACACTTCTATGACGAATTGGAGAATGCCGGCAAAATAAAATACTTTGGCGGCAAAGGCAATAAAGATTTCCTCTCCTAGTTTTACACACAATCGTCAACTATATTCTGCGTTCCCTGTTCTCCACTTTGCAAGAGGTAAGTCTGCAACTCTTTTTTTAGTTAATCGGCATGTTTATTTGAGATGGTTTTGAATGCCTAGAAATTGAAGTTGTTAATTTTGAAAGAGATGATTAAATTATGTTTGGAGTTCATCTAAAAAAGTGAATTTGAGAGATCCGGTTTATTTTATACTCCGTATTATATATCCGTAGTGTATATATGTGTGTCTGTATTTTTTATCAACGGCTATGTGGTATGTTTCTGAATATTTTGCACCGAAAGTTATTTTTCAAACAAACTATTTAAATAATTTGCATGTAACTTAAAAATAGATTACAGACATAGCCAAAATGTCAAATGATGTATTTCTATTTTACATACAAACTAATCACCACCCTAAACTTTCTATGCAACCATTTTGCATGTAAACTATCGAACGGGCTCTTAGACCAGATATTTAATCTAGGAAAAAGTACCTTAGAAGTACTTGTGGTTTGAGCTATTGGATACTAGTTTCTTCGTTCTCCATCGTCCGAGCCACGCGAGAAATCGACCGAAATCGTAAACCCTACAAGAGGGAAGGCCGCCCTTTTAGCGAAGAAGATAGGCTAATACACTCCAACTAGGCAACTAAACATTGTAAAAAAGAAGACTACCTGAAATACAAATAAGATTATCCCTGTTTTGACTTTTGAGCAAAAAATATGATCCACTCGATCTTAAAATGGAATACAAGCTATGTCTAAAAATCCGGACCGGAGAGCGACCCGGCCACATGACTGGGTCACGGGTCAACCCGGGCCCGGTGGGACAATCGGTCAACGCCGGAAAACCGGTCAACAATTATATGTCTATATAATTATAATGATGATGATGATGATGATGATGATAATAATAATAATAAACATATAATTATATACAAAATTATATTAACAAGAAGTTATTATTTATAATAAGCAACTAACAATACTACTTATTAAGCATTTAACACATTCTCATAATATTTCAAAGTATAATTTTGATCCTATAAAAATATACTCGGTATAATGTTATTTTTGTACATTTATATTATAATTTGGCATGATTTTCATTCTTAAATATATATTTTTTCTTTTTAGGGTATTCAAATTGCAATTTTAATGATTTAAAAATGCATTAAAATTAAAAAAGAAATTACTTTTTTTTTGGAAAAACACCCAAAACCTGGTTTTCCCGGGGTTTTCGGGTTTCTTGGGTCCAGGTTCAGACCAGGTTTTTCCAGTTTTTGATTCCGGGTTTTGAACAAACCAGACCGGGTTTTTTGCTGGGTCGCCGGGCTCCGTGTCAACCCGGCCGAGTCGGGTCGGTTTTTAAAACAGAGTACAAGTAGTCATTAACTCAATATTGCTTCTTTTATTAGTGAATGAAACAAATACTGGAGAACAAAATGATATACCAATTCGATGAAATATATTCTATTCAAATCCTATTTATAGATTTTTTTTTCTTTTTTATTAAGTTGTTATGTACTCCTAGATAATAGGCAACCCTGAGCTTCTTTATGGTACACACATTTATGATGTGAAATATGGTATGAGAACAAGAGCTAGGATAAAATATTATTTGACCTGAATAACAACTTGAACGAGTGCCATGGGACATAGAGAATACAATCGTATAATTGAAGGACTACAAATGGACTGCCATATTGAGAACACAATTCACTCATCTAAAAGAACACATCCACCAAAACAATTAAAACTCAAATGGGCATTATTTCCAACTCTTGGCGCACATGTTGCCTCTAAGCAAATGCAAAGTTTTTCTCTTATCAAACTTATTTTATTTTATTATGTATATGTTGACCAGTTTACAGTGCCCGCAAGACCTGTGAGCAGAGTGAGGGCCAGGAAGAGAGCTGCTCCTATTTCACACTTCTCAGAGAACATAGATGATCATCAATCAACAACATTGAAAAACAATTACAAGCGACTCCTTTTACTTGAAGGAGCTGGCTTGAAGCTTGCAATACCAGTGATTTCTCTTCCTGTTACTAGGGTGTTTATGTCGTAGGTACCTTCATATGTGTAGATTGGTTCCATGTCACAAAACGCCTGCAAATATAACTTAAGACTGTAAGAAATTACTAGTATATTTTTAACGAACAAAAACATAAATGGAAGGGGTGGACATGGCCTGTTCCCGCCCTGTTCTATATTGAGTAGACGGATGATTCTGGTTCAAGTGGTACCTACCCCATCTCGCAGCTTATTTAGAAAATCATAATAATAAATGGTACTGGTAAATGTCGGTTTGGTTCTGTAGCCACAAGTCTACTACTGGTTCTGGTTCAGAATTGGTTGCTGGTTTGGTTTCCAGATACAAAGCTGGTTGAACCCGGTCCGGAACCGTGTTAATGAATACTAACCTTTGCTACTAGAAAATCTGCCAAGACTCCATTGCCTCCTAAAAGTTCGCGGCCAAGTGATGCAGTCTCTCTTGCCCGCAGTGTAATCCAGGACTGAGAAAAAGGACATCTATCAGAGAATATATAGCAGACGGACTTAGAATAATAGCCCACAGCTTTAAGGATGGTTTTATTACTTTCGCTAAGCTCGCCTGACCAGGAGTCATTTTACCACTCTCGTACAGCTTGCAAAGGCGCCAGCCAACAAGAAACATCGCCTGAATGTTTGACAGCATTTGGACCAGTTTCTGTTGGTTGATCTGGAAAGCAGCTAATGGAGCACCGAATTGCTTCCTCTCTTTTAGGTACCTTCAGTTCCACATGGATCATTCAACATATGAGTAGGCTATTGGGATTATATTGAGTCATTGTCTCCTCACAGGCGAGAACACAAACTGAAAGATAGATAAGCTTAACAACATAAATACCTGTGGCACATATCATAAACACCCATTGAGATGCCAATTGGTTGCCATGCAACCATGACACGCGAGACAGCAAGAACCTGTTTCCACAAAGACAATTGCATATATAATCAGTAGCAACTGGACGAGTTGGAAGCGGGGTCAAATTCAAGTAAAACAGTTGGCTTTAGATTTTAGATGCTGGACAGTACAATCGTTGCATGGAATTTAAACGAAATGGCAAGGAAAGTTGTCCGGATGAAGTTCAAAATGCCAGAAAAGATATGTTTTGGTGGAAAATTGAGTAAAAATGGGGAGGAGACCTTATTTGTATCCTGAAAAGAATTAACTCCAGGTAATCTGTCCTCATCTGACACAAAAACTTTGTTTAGGAGAATATCTGCATTTTGAACCAGCCTCAGGCCAATCTTATTCTCTATTTTAGTGGCTTGCAATCCAGGTGCGTCTTTCTTTATTATAAATCTGCACAAGGGTTGCCCAATACAGATATACATTTAAAAGGGAGATCGATAAATGAACAATTTTAGGTGTATTAATGGTTGTTGTTTAACCAGTGACACATGACTCACTCAGAACCAAACCTCTCAACAATTACAAAAAGGATTATATAAAAATTACTAGAAAGATAATAGGAAAATATCTTGAACTGAAAGGCAGCTAATAATACAAGTATTCAAAGAAACCCCTTTCAAAATGAAATCAGAACATAAGACGGCTTCCCTGAAATTGATCAATAAGAACATCCTAACACATTATAGCTGGAACTTAATGTACTTTCAACATACCCATTTATCTGGTTTGTACCAGCATTTCTAGCAAAAATTATGAGTACATCTGCGAATGTACCGTTTCCTATCCAACGCTTTTGACCTTCTATGACCCAACCTCCTTCAACCTTATCAATTTAATATGCAGAAAAAATATACAGTGAATGAAAATGCTATACACAATAATAGTACTTGTTCTTAGGAGTTGGGGAATTAAAACTGAAAATCTCACAAGAGTAGACCTTTGTTGCAACTGTTTTCAAAGAACTTGCATCACTCCCATAGTCCGGTTCTGTAAGTGCCTAACATCCAGAAGGTGTACTTCAGATCATTTAACCAGAAGTCCAACCCCAACCCTCCTACCCAAACAAAAAAAGAAACAGAGGCATGCATCTTTGCAGGAACCTAGACAGCAGATGATAGGAATTTCTCACCCAACATGATATAGTATCCAGCGTGGCCAATGATGGTAAATACTTCTGCTTTTGTATCTCTGACCCGCAAAGTGCTATTATTGAGGGTCCAGGATAGTATTAGAACTTTATCGTCATTCTGCCCACTATTTGCTATAATCAGATATTACACTCACCTATCGTTAGCATAGCTAAAGAAGAATGAACCAGAATAAAAGTTGAGCAGCTGGCATCAACTCTAGCAACTTCTGCTACAGCAACAGCACTCGCTGTTAAAGAGAGTCCAGGACAGCCATACCCCTGACCAACAATAAGTTAGAGCCACAACTATCTGCTGAGAAAACTGGGCTTCAAATTTTCTTATCAATAACCCACAATACAGTTAATTTTATCTCTCTAACACATACATACAAATTATCTATACTTCCTTCTGGCTTCCACACTCATACACTAACTCTTGCACATTTTCTCCTCTAATAAATAGGACTCTCAACACAAACATGCAGCTTCCATATTTTCTTCATCCCTTAATTTTTTTCACATTGTTCTAAATTCTCACACACATTATGCTTCACATGCATTACTACAAAAAATAACACAAAAATGTACTTAAAAGAAATATCATCTGCTAAGAGTCTAAGATCATGTGCTATGTTACGAAAATTAATAAATTCAGCACTATCTATCAGAAAATGTAAAAAAATAAATGTTAGGAATAAAAGTAGTTACACCTTGATGGTGCCACCAGCCATGCGTAAAGCACCAAGTTTTGGAATTATTTCAAAGGGAAACTCGGCCTTTTCCCAGTACTGCAAGAAAAAATATCATGGTCCACCTTGTATTCAATCAATTCACTTTTCAAGAACAAGCCAACATATGTATAATGCCATATATTGTTATTACAAAAATAATAGTATAACCCAGTTTAATAATCCTGGAGGAAAACCTTTGCCATTATCGGCGCTACTTCTTTTTCCATGCACTCTCTGACTTTCATTCTGAGATTTCTCTCATCAGGAGTAAGCAGGTCATTAAACTCATAATAGTCAGATTCTGCAAGGCATATGAAATACATATTAGTACCAGAGAAATGACTATTTTAACATCAACAAAGGGAAATAATTGAAAATATCCAAGCAAGTTTAAAGATTTCTCTCAAGATCACAACTTCAATGTTGCATAAAGTCAGGCGAATAATGTATTCATCCAAATCATGAGACAATAGCAACTGAGAATTAATCCCAAATCACTAGAGACGGCTACATGGACGTAAGGTATTCTATGATAGCATATGCAACTCAAAGATTTTAGAGAGCATGAATTATGCATATACTAGACCTGACAGGGTTATGAGGAGAATTAATTTTGTGCAATTCTTCAAAAGAGAGAGCTAGTGAATCATGAGACTTACTGCACTGAGGAAACTTGGAAGCTGGAGTTGCTTGAGGAAATGCAACAGAAATATCCATAGCCTGCATATCAAAATACTTTCTTTTTACCTCCTCGTGCTTTTCCTCTGTAGCGCTTTATACTTGTGGATTGTAACTGTTTTAAAGATAACGAATCAGATTTAGCTAAATATTGGACTGCAATGTCAACCTCATCCGGCAGAAGTTGTTCTGTAGTTTTTACAGTTCATTGGTGTTTAGTGCTTACACTCATTATCTTTCTATCCCTTTTATCATTCTTAAGTTCTTCATTTTTTTCCCCTTTAACTTATACTGCCTCCGTCCCCTGTGTTTGGGACAAAGGGACGTGGTGGGATTTTTAAGAAAAGGTAGAAATGCGTGGTTGGTATTAAATTGGTAACGAGTGAATGAAGAATGAATTGTTATCACCAAATATTACCATATTTGGTGGGACGAATGAAAAAGGTAAAATAGAAAAAAGTTAGGGGGACGGAGGGAGTATTTTTTATCCTTTTTATCTTATACTACGTTTTTTTATCCTTCTTATCTTATCATCTTTATCTTTGTCTTAGTTTTTTTTTTAATCTTTTTTATGTTATCTTTATCTTTTTATATTTCTCATCTTATGGAGTATTTTTTTAGCTCCGATTTCATGTGTGGTTAGCCGATGCCAAACTATTTTTTGGACACAACCAATCAAAAGTTTAATTGTCTTTAGCCATTAAAAGGTAAATCATAGCTCCTAATTTTCATAATAACATTCAAAACAGTAAATAATCAAAACTCAGACGCAACCTCCCTAATCTATATACACCCAGATGCAACCCACCTCCCCAATTTATATACACTAAGCTTGACCACAGAATAGCCATAAATTCACGGTTTTTAACACCCTTATGACCTCCAGTAAACCTCATCACATGTTTGAATGTCCAGAAGAAGTAGAAAATTAAATTCACCAGAAGTTCTCTTAAAGTGTTATAGCCCTTCCCTCAACCAGCATCACAAATACGACCCGTGAATAACCATATGATACTAAAGGTATAAAAAGCAAGAAATGGACCTCGAGAAATATGTAAAGGAACTTTCAGGCTGATCAGTGAGCCAGAGAGGGGGAAGCTGGGGCTAGGAGGACTGCGGAGAAGACTCAACAAGGAGGATGCGTAATAAATGCAGTCTTATTACCAAAATAGGATTATAGGATTAACACGGAATATAGTTAAAGGGAAAAGGGGAGGAGGTAGAAGAAATTTTTTCGCTCGCAAAAGTTAAAAGTGCAATTATCTTCAACAAATCATTTGAATGCTTTTTCAATTGAATTTTTAGCTGAAATTTGGTATGAGTAAACTAGACTTAGAATAAGATGTTCAAAAAAAATCATCAAAAAATTCCACCAAGAACTGCTTTAAATAACGACGGCCGGACAGAACCTTCTATATGAAGTCTTATTTGACATTTTTATGTAAGTTCGAAAGTCTATTTAACCGTTAAATAAATGGTGTTCCATAGATCTTTCAAAACAAAACGGTGTTTCAGAGGCGGCCACGCTACTCCGTATGAGAGACTTTAATAGTCATCTTACATGTGTATGCAACAATTTGATAAAGACTATCTCATCACTAGTGCTGGACTCGGGCCGGTTCGGGCCCGGTTCGGGCCCGGTTCGGGCCTGGGCCCGGCCGGGCCTCGGGCCAGGAAAGGGAGGCCCGAGCCCGAACCGCCGGTGGCCGGTTCCGGTCCCGGTTCCGGGCCAAACCGGGCCGGGCCGGGCCGAACCGGCCCAATTAATTTTTTTTTTTTGTTCTCCTATTTAATCCCCTACCCCTCCCCCTCAACCCCAAACCATCCCAAACCACCTCAAATGGCCCAAAATACCTAATCCAACCTAAAACTTTAAAAAATTTCAAAAAAAAAAAAAAATTAAAATCCGGCCCGGACCGGGCCCGAACCGGCCGGGCCGGTTCACCAAAACCTGGGCCCGGGCCCGAACCGCCCAGCAGCCGGGCCGGGCCGAACCGAACCGGTGGACCCACCGGGCCCCGGGCCGGGCCGGGCCAAACAGTAACCGGGCCGGGCCGGTTCCGGGCCGGGCCGCCCGGCCCGAGTCCAGCACTACTCATCACTAGTAATCTTACATGCACATGCTAAAATTTGTTGAATAAAAATATGAAAATAAAATTTTGGATGAAACGATTGAACAAATTCAATATAATAAATTATGAAAAATTATATTTCAAATATATTTAATAATAGAATAAAGAAAAAATATATGAAAATATTTAGAACCCATTTGGTAACATTGGGATTGACTGAATCGTATGATTTTACTTGAATTTATGAAATTTTAGCTGAAGTGACTGAATTGACTAATTTTTTTTATTAATGAAAAGATTAATTTTAAAATATATTTATTAATAAAAGAAAGAAAAAATTATTGGATAAAAAACTAAAGCGGTCTTCTACAATGATCTCACCACATTTCAACATTACTTATTTTGATTATTACACAATTCAACGCGCGAAATAAAAAGGGAAAAGGTACAAATATACCCTTTTAATATAGGTGTGGGAAAAAATATATCTCTGTTTTATTTTTTGGAATAAATATACCCCTGAAGTTTACGTGGAAGTGCATATATACCCCTAAACTTTGAAAATGTGCACAAATACTCCTCATGTTCCTATAAAAGTGCAAATTTACCCTTTATTGACTTTGAATAGATAAAATAAATCTAAAAAATACTAAAAATAGACTATAAAATTTGAAATTGAAAAATAAAATAGAAATAGAAAACTACTTTTGGCCAATTCTCCCTTTTATTGTTTTTTATCACAATTTAATATTGTTAGTATAAAATATTATTTCAAAACTTTACTATATATTTAAGATTCTTTCGGGAAAGTGTTAATCTTTTTTATTCTTTGCACTATAAAATCACAAAGATTTTAAATAGTCCAATATTACAAAATTGTGAATTTAATTTTATTTAGGTTAAATAAAATAAAAAAACATTCTTCAAAAAATGTAACAGTGTGTTTAAAATATCGCAACAACTCTAAAATTAATATTTATGAACTTTAAGTGCTTCATTTACAATGGAAAAACAATAATTTTGTAATTTAAATTAAAGAGTTAATATTTTAACATAAAAAAAATCTTTATTATGAAATCTTAATTTTTTTTCAATTTCGAATTTATAATTTATTTTAAGTATATTTAAAATTTATTTTATTTGTTTAAATCATTAAGAGTAAATTTGCTCATTTATAGGAACATGAGGGGTATTTTTGCATCTTTTAAGAGTTCAGGGGTATATATGCACCTTCACATAAATTTCAGGGGTACATTTGTTCCAAAAAATAGAACATTAATATATTTGTTCTCACACCCATACTACAAGGGTATATTTGTACCTTTTTCCAAATAAAAAATTACGTACTTGATTAAAAAGTTAACTGATAAGCCGAAACAGGGTCGCAAACAGGCTCTTAAGATGGTCAACAAAAAGTAAATTCAGTTTTTATCGAAATATAAAAACATTGTCATCCGCTTTTTCACATACTATGGCCATGTTTATTTCACTACTAAATACACAGTTAGGTTAGTAAGATATGTTAAGTAAATACATAGACTTCATAAAAATTGCTTACTAACACAAACATATTTTCCTTAGAGTGAGTCGAGTGACCCTTACTAAACATATCACCCCATTTATTAATGAACCAACAATTTGAACTTTTTCGCTCTAAAATTAAAAAAAAATGTCACAATATCCACTAAACAAATAATCATCATAATTGTAAGTCATCATTTCTGATTATTATTTTTTCTTCTTAGTACATGAGGCAAGCTAGGTTGTTTACAATATGCATTATAAAAATTCTAGACACTTCTTCATGAATATAAGATTTCATTTGTCATTCTTTCGGCTCAACTAATCTCAATGACAATCTCATTATTATTATTATTATTATTATTATTATCATTATTGGATCAAAGTATTGGAATATATACTACCTTACTGCTGAATAAAAAGACATGCTTAGCAATGTTACATGCACAATTTAATTCATGGGGTGGGGTTTATTTACATCAATACATTTACTCCCAGTCTCCAAACTCAGATGATTAGTGTGTGAAACAACATCCCAGTACGATAAACGGACTCATATTTGACCTGCCAGTGCCAGATATAACAAAATGTTAGGTACCAGTCAGTGAACTGAACACACCAGCCAAAAACTCAGAGACCATCTCATTACAATACAATACAATATACGTAGTATAATAATTCAAATAGATTGTGCATCAAGAAAATGCAGTCAGTTAACCTAATTCTTAAAAAAATCCAGCTTTCTCTCTTCCGTACACCAACCCAGAACTACACAACCAGTCATTATAGTTCCCTTTGCCTTTTGATACACCTTGTTTTGGTCCTATGTACCAGCAGTGCATAAAAATGAAATCTTGAATGCAACAATTGTGTACGGTGCACATGTGACATGAGAGGGATAGATATATAAAAAAATGATATATGTAGTCTCGCTCTCCTTATTTAAAGGCATTGTCAGTTTTTGGTACTTTTTCTCCACAATGTGAAGGAAAACGTCTAGACGTAGACATTGAGTTTGAAATTATCGATAAAAAGTAACTAAAAATACAGAAAGCCGTGGAAAGAGAGAGAAAACTCCGGTAATCTAATTTTATGTGTCTATATCTCTCATTCCATGGTGCACCGTGCACATTGTTGCATTGAAGATGCTCTAATTGATTCACAAGCTATCGTAATTATTTCTCTTTAATTATTCTAGTTGTTTCCTTTTGTTTTGCTTTCCTGATTCTAGTTGATGCCATTTATTTAGCTTTCCGACTTTTAGGCAAGTCTCTTATTCATGAATGGGTAATAGTTCAGATTTCTTTCCTATTATTGTTTAGGATTCTGATTTCTGCCCATATATGGCTTATCAGTTATCACTTCGAATAAAATACTAAGTTTGGAATATTTGATTTCTTGATTTGCTGGTGGAACCAGGGATCATCTTTCTTGACCAGGGCAGGAAGTTAGGGGTTTTATTCCCACGCTTCAAATCCCCCTTTCATCAACAACAGCCTTGGACCAGATCTTGTACCAAGGCCCTTAACACCTTGTCATCGTTATTAAGAAATAAAAAAACATCACCAAATATTGAAGAGCCAACCAATAAAAAATAAACAAAATTTTGTTAGACCTGCAGATTATAATCTAACAGAACACACGATTGAATCAAGAATGTAGGGCAACTTTTATTTCTTAGGCAACAAGATAGAGGTACAACTCTGATCTCCCAATCCAGACTACAAGTCAAAAACAGCCTGCCTACAACCTCCCAAAGTATGCTATTTATAGTAGGGACTTCTAACAACAGGTAGTTATTAGCTAAAACAGACTAACTAATAACAGACCCTACGTCCTTCTAGAATACACTTTATTAAAGTATTTATCTCCTCTCTTCATATTAGTCAAATCTCTATCAAATTTGCTTCCTCCACACACACATATAATGGACAGAGATGATGATTGTTAAAAGTGCAAATATACCTTGGATGGAGATAGAACAGCTTCTCACCAAGTCCTTGAAAACATATATAATGAACTGTCATCGCCCACCAGAGACATAACTATGAACAGCCGAAACATCTAACTTAGTCAAAAGGAGGCATTGCCGCACAAACACATCATGAAAAAAGAACTGAAATGGGTCCCCACTGTTAGAGGCAAAGATAAAAAAAATATGGTTAAATGTAAATACATCCTATGAAAGTTATGGAAATATCACATCTAAGAATATACATCTGGTAAGAGCCTATGAATTAATGATTTATGAAGATCAATATGATATGTTAATCCACCTAGAACTATGGAAGGCATAGAGTCAGGGATGCAAAAAATTCAAGTAATACATGAATAGCAAGCAAGCTGCTCAATCCGTTGCATGATCTGAACTTGACTCGAGCTCAATCAGGTTACTCGTAAATGCTTTCGAGTTGAGTTCGAGCTTGTTTTCGCAATGCTTGAGAGCTTGACAAGCTTAATTGAGTACTTGGTACAGTATATATACTATGACAACATCCAAGCCTTAGTCCTAAAAGATTTGAGGTCGGCAAATATGAATCATTGAATCTATACATGATATCGGAGCCAAAAGGAAAAGAAAGATAAAAAGATAAGGTATGATAAAAAGAT